TTAATACTCAAAATCTAACTGTGCGTTTCTCGTTTTTGAAGAGTGTATGGTACAAGTCAAAATAGGAAATTGCATCGGACATCATTTTTGTCACTGTAAGACAGTAAATACATACATATATACATAAAACATAAGGAGGATATTGTTCGTATCGTGTACCAGTACAAGGTATGATATGCATAATGCTTTAACAAAATGTTCATGACTTTAATAATTGTTTTCGTTGATACATTTTATAAAGTATGCTTGGTACTGCGAGTTGTAAATTTTCTGACTTAAAATATATAAAGGTTTCTGTAAATTACTGAGAACTGAAGATAGGATTTAATAACATACAATCATTTTAAATTGCGTGTCTTAAATATTCATAAAACGGTCATGATATTAAAATATGTAATTCATCTTCAATAATTCTGTTATTAACCTGTTTAAACAATTGTGGATAAATTGTTCCAGAAGATGGTTGTATCTATGGCAGGGGGTAAAGATCCACAAAAAGCTAAAATTCAACGGTGGTCCCCATATTTGACATTTAAAACATAATATTCAACAACATTTTGAAACCCTTAAATTGACTGTAAGTTCTAAGCTTAGCTTATTGCCAATACATTATTTTGGTCACCACCATTCATTATCATCTCCAATGAGATAATCTCTGAATTATTTACTCACGTTATGAACAATAGATACCGTCACATCATATCGTTTTCGACAACGGAGAGGTATCACGTCATTTGCTTCAACAACCAAATCAGCATTGAGATTCCCACGTGAACCGGAAGTAATACCACTATATCTTTTTGAAGAGTGTATGGTACAAGTCAAAATAGGAAATTGCATCGGACATCATTTTTGTCACTGATGCGTCAAATTTGGAAATGTCCTCCAAATGTCTTCCAAAGAGGGGAATGAACTGGTATCAGCACGCTAGATTCTAATGCTTCTGACTCCTGATCAGAAACGCTCCCGATTCCTCATCTCTCTTGAGATGTTACGTTGTTTTAAAGCAGACCCAGTTGATTTTGTTGAGTCATTTTAACCATAGATGACCTGGGTTTACCACTATCAGCCAGAGAGAGACATAACAGTCAAAGAAGAGGCTGCATCGCACTTTTCTGAAGAAGAAGAAGTCAAAGTTGGAATCCCCCTGATGGACTACCTCCTGAAAGGTCAGACCATGTGGAGGACTCTTTACGTCACCACGAGCAAGCATTCTACACCAGCGGGATCCAGGCACTCCAGCATCGGTGTGTGGACCTCGAAGGGGATTATGGTGAAACACAATAAGCAACCCAACACAGCCCATCATGTTCAGAGCATTGGTTGATCAATGTCATCGTATCCCAATTGCATGGTTCGATGCTCATGATATCAATCACTGGATTGTCTGGTCCAGATTCGATTATTTACAGACCGCCGTCATATAGTTTTAATATTGTTGACTTAGGCGTTGAACAACAAACAAAAACATGACACACGTATGAGTTTTGGGACAAGTGATACATAACTGAATAGTTGTTTAAATTGAGTAGAATGAAGTCTTTGTTTGTTGTTTAACGCCGCACTCAGTAATAAATAACTGATTTGTTGTTTAAATTGAGTAGAATGAAGTCTTTGTTTGTTGTTTAACGCCGCACTCAGTAATAAATAACTGATTTGTTGTTTAAATTGAGTAGAATGAAGTCTTTGTTTGTTGTTTAACGCCGCACTCAGCACTACTACAGGAACAGGACGTCCACATGTAAATCATCGAGTCCTGAAGCAGTGATTGATATCACGATCAACGATCGACGCCGTCAGGGTACGATGACACGCATCAACCAAGTCACCAATCCTGACTACCCGATCTATTCACTCGTAGACAAGCAAGGTTGCTGGGGACCTAGTCTACCCCGGCATCTGGCAGGCTGGAGTAGATGGAGGCGTGTTGACACCACTGTTTGAGGTAGTATTGTAGCTAATGTAGATTTATGACAACCATCAAGCCGTTTTTCCTGCTGTGGGGATGTACTTATAATATACTAACCCCAAAAAGAAACTGTCCATAGCAAACAATGAATACAGTAAATGTACAGTAGAAATTTATTCAAAAGCAATGAAATTGCATGAAACATGAACAACATTAAATGTCTATGCTGTATAGTATCGACTTCAGGATGCTAATGAGGTGCATGGGGTCAAAATCTAAAGTCACAGATTCAGTTGCGTGTATGTCCGCCGGCTGCATGAATTACTGTTGTACACCGACCCCTCAAGGATGAAATTAATCGCGTATGAAAGTGTTGAGGGATATTATTCCATATTCTGACAAGCTCTACTTGCAGATCACGAGGCGTTACGGGGGAAGTGGGAGAAACCGTCGCAAGTAAAACAGTAAATCTATTCAACGGAATCAACGAACCATTACAGGAAATAAATACAAATTGACGATTACGACTGAAGAGCAGTAAAAGCAGTAAAGTGAAAAAGACATCTACATTACTCTATTATCTTGTATATTAAGTTTAAATTGATGACTGTGTATTATTCATAACATTTGCCACACAAATAATGCCACACACATGTTACTCACCTCTAATAATATGAAGTATAATTATATCAATATTGAAAGAAATAAGAAATATTATCTTTAGACGTCTCATAGAAATGACAATACTGCAGTAATCGTGTACCGAGCCACGTGGCGCACTATGACGTGAAGCGAGTGACACTATGTGAATAAATCTTCAAAACGAAGCTGTAAAAGGTCCAGTCAATAGCAAAATGTGATTATTCAAATTGAGTATTTATAGCCAAGTAATTGGAATGAAGTCCTGTACTACCCACGTTGGTCCGTACACGTCAAGATCGAACACAGAGAAGTGGCTTTGGTAAAAACTCTACATGGAATATGTGTACACCACATGTTTTCACGACAGTAGGTTTGTTTTGTTTGTTTGTTGTTTAACGCCGCACTCAGCAATATTCCAGCTATATGACGGCGGTCTGTAAATAATCGAGTCTGGACCACACAATTCAGTCACTGACATCGTGAGATCGATCCACGCAACTGGGACACGATGACATGCATTCACCAAGTCAGCGAGCCTGACCACCCGATCCCGTTAGTCGCCTCTTACGACAAGCATAGTCGCCTTTGGCGGTAAACAGGTTGCTGAAGACCTATTCTACCCCGGATCTTCACGGGTCCACAATGTTAGATATTAGATAATAACATTATCATTCATAAATAGTATAACAGTCGTCAAATGCTGCATGAGATGTGATACGTCGATATATGTTCTACGAGATCTTAACCAGATAAGTATATCACTCGTTGATGAATTTTACAGTGCACCCCCGTCATATCGAAGTAAAATGGCTGCCATTTACCTAAAAGTTGGGGCTAAAGGGGTTCAGGGTTATTATTGTTCTTTTTTGATCACTCCGAATTCCGTTTAATATCAGATAAAGCCTGTGTTGGTCGTAACGGGAGTGGACCATGTTGTGATATGTCAAATATAACGTCTAATTTGTAAATTAACAAATAACTTTAAGAATGCAGAACATTCGCAACAAGAATCTACATTGTAAATGTATACATAGTTTACTTACGCGTCACACGTTACATAAGCTGTGTATATAAAAAATGGACATATAATTTAAGAATAACGTCCAGCAATAAGGGTTATGAGACACAATAAGACAGTAAATACATATATACATAAAACATAAGGAGGATATTGTTCGTATCGTGTACAAACAATAAAATACCAGTACAAGGTATGATATGCATAATGCTTTAACAAAATGTTCATGACTTAAATAATTGTTTTCGTTGATACATTTTATAAAGTATGCTTGGTACTGCGAGTTGTAAATTTTCTGACTTAAAATACATAAAAGTTTCTGTAAATTACTGAGAACTGAAAATAGGATTTAATAACATACAATCATTTTAAATTGCGTGTCTTAAATATTCATAAAACGGTCATGATATTAAAATATGTAATTCATCTTCAATAATTCTGCTATTAACCTGTTTAAACAATTGTGGATAAATTGTTCCAGAAGATGGTTGTATCTATGGCAGGGGGTAAGGATCCACATCTAAAAAAAAGCTAAAATTCAACGGTGGTCCCCATATTTGACATTTAAAACATAATATTCAACAACATTTTGAAACCCTTAAATTGACTGTAAGTTCTAAGCTTAGCTTATTGCCAATACATTATTTTGGTCACCACCATTCATTATCATTTCTAATGAGATTATCTCTGAATTATTTACTCACGTTATGAACAATAGATACCGTCACATCATATCGTTTTCGACAACGGAGAGGTATCACGTCATTTGCTTCAACAACCAAATCAGCATTGAGATTCCCACGTGAACCGGAAGTTATACCACTATATCTTTCACCATGTACGGAACATAACATTAATCACGTCATTGTGACGTCATCTTGGCTATTGTTACCGGATGAACACTTTGAGTGTACATATACTCTAACTACAAATCACAAGTGTTCTGAATGGCACAGAAAAAACTTCGAGTGTTATATTATCGTATGAAAATGCATGTACAATGAATTACTAAAGGTGGTATTGATTATAAGATACTGGTGTCAGGGGAGGCCATGTGTTGACTCCATTGTGATTTTCTTTGAAAGATACTTGGACCATGGTTAGGTTAATATTACCTTGCTTTCATTTCCTAAACCACGCTGCAAGTTGGATGCTTGACATGAAAGAAAAATTTAAATGAGACATTTTTTTTTAATGTGATTCAAGGCTTACTCCTTTCCTAAATTGGCCTGGGTGGCACAGGTGGCACAGTCGTCTAAGGCGCTGCGATTCGCTGTGCAGAGTTGTGTCCCTTAGGCACGCCAGAAACCTATGATTGTGGGTTCAAATCCCGGTTCCCTTTGATTATGTTTCTAGGTTTGTCAGCACCATACCAGTGCTCGTGGGTTTCACCGAAGTGATAAACGTCTGAGACCTGCATCACTCCGGGCTTTCCTCTCACATTAAGCTGACACGCCGCGATATAACTGAAATACTGTTAAAAGCGGCATTAAACCCAACTCACTCACTCACTCACTCACTATATTGGCCTATTTTGGGTATTACTTCATAACAGAAATAGGGTTTCGCAGTAATGAAACTGTATATTTCACAAAGTAATAGTTTCCCTGTATTGTTTTTCAATTTTGAGTTGGATCCGTAAATTAAGTAATAAAAAGACCCGCTTTGTTTATCTTTTAATGCATAAAGGCCAATTACGTTTAAATTTATATTTAGCATAATGATTATTCTTATTTTTCTAGTGTTGTTAGGGGCCATTGGAGTTACAAGTCGCGATGAACTTTTACGTCACATGGCGTGCTAGGATCCTTTGACTCCAAATTCCGGAGTAATACAAAACTCACTTCAGTGCAATTTGGTCCAAATATAGCTTTCATTGATCAAGACACGCGGTGGCGTTGTGATTATGCTCAGGATGGTGCAGTTGTTCGTCTGCTCGTGGAAGGTTACGTGTGTGCACGTGGACACCAGACGACACTGATCCAGACAGTCCCGGAGGGTGAGTTCTGGTGAGTCAGTGAGGTATCCAAGAGTCAGGCCGCCGGTCGGAGTCTCCTTCAGGATGAAGGTAGTTGTGACGGAAGTGACGTCACTAGTGATTTTCGGTCTGAGGGCTGAAATAAAACCATAGACTGAAAACACGCGTTGGGTATATGTTGTTTAACTCCCCTATACATAATGCATCTCGTACACATGAAGAATAAACTATATACTACTGAACATTTGCTAAGGACCGGCATAGTCATATTTAGTCAAGGGTGTGGTCCTTAGCAAAATTATTATCTTATAAAGAAATGTAAAACATTAAAACTCCTATCCTGTATTTATTTTCTGGACACATTTGTGCTTGCTTATAAAGTGACGTATCCATATTCAAATACAGAAACCGAAAACAATGAGGAATATTACTTACAGTAATGCCAAAACATGCAAAGTGCACTTTTCAAGAAATGTTCATTATTTGATCACGAGGTTACAATCCGGGTAAGAATCAGGTGAGTGCGAGCGGTTATTTCTAGCAGTGACCTTGGTGAATAGCGTTTTTAATACTACATCTGCACGTGCCTTTCATTCAGTTCGTGCTGGCAATGTGCGTACGCTACACAAGCTGCTAAATATAGCAACTCGCCTTCATCTGACCATCCTCAGTCGGATTGTAATCACGTGATCAAAACTCCAAACTGATTTTTATCGCTGAGAAAAAGGACATTTCTTGAAAAGCGCGCTTTGAAATGTTTGTCATTACTGTAAGTAATATTTCTTATCGGCGGAATGAAATGTTTTTACTTTATAAGTGTTAGCAGGCATGCATCAATCTTCGTTAATGAATCATCGCGATATTTCTTGATTCTATTTCAAGTGTCGAGGACTATAGTTTGTAACTATCCCATGACAATAGTTATTCGGCTGCCTTTTAAATTGCTTACTCTGTTATATTAATAAAAACATGAACATATATATGACCCAATCTTTGCGACAATCTGGAGAAACAGGTCCCTATACCATTTGTTTATCAAGTGTTGGGAGTATTGACAAAAAGAGGTCAAGGTCATGTGTCGATTTTTTTACGAAGGGTAACATGGAAAGAAGAGTATTTATGGATGTCAACTTCTTTATTATGGGGAACACAACGTTTCGGAATATATGCTTCAGGTGAAGGTGGAAGTATATACTCCGAAACGTTGCGTTCCTCATAATAAAGAAGTTGACATGCATAAATTCTCTTCCTTGCGTGTATCACGTGTATTAAATGCCTTTCAAAGACTTGGTAGCATGGAAGTTCAGAATATGATCGATGGTAGTAAGGTGTGGTTCTGAACTATTTCCATTTGCTTACTTCCGGTTCTGTGTAAAGAGTCGTGGAGAGATATAGGTTTGTGATGTTGTGTGTTCTGGTGCTGGCTAAACTGTTGTTGTTTCTAAACAGCACACGTTACCATGGAAATAGCAAAAAGAAAATTAATTTTCCAACAAGCAAACAACTGAATATCTCCATGTGCACAATATTGTGAATTCATATTCATTGGAGTTTTAACAGAATCTCAACATTAATGGTCGCTCAGGACATATTGGGGCCACACAAATGCCAGAAAATAACATCACTAGATAGCCATCTTTGCACTTCGTGTTGGTTAAGTAACTAAAGTTGGGGTTAAGGAATTGATGCCTCACGGTTAAGGAACGAACACTTGGTCGTTAAAGAATTAAACTTGATTGTCAAGGATTTAGTACATGGCTGGAATTGATACCCACATCTTTCCTTTCGTTTGTACAAAATGTATACGTTCAAGAGAATACTAATACCAGAGGAATACAAATATGAGCGGAGGACCGGAAACACTGTCAAGTGGAAATTAAGTTGTAACATCTAAATACTCACGGGTGCAGAAAATCCTTAAGCGCCTTGAAAAAACCCACTGGCCAAACCTATTACAGCCCAGCGTCGGGTTCCCAGTGAGACTTTTGTAACCATGGCGACATTTGATTTCGATGACGTCCAAGTACTGAGTTCCGTTATGACTGGGGTATGTAAAGGGATAGTCGGGGGGAGGTCCACAAGAGGTAGCTGCAACCATAGAAGTCGGTATTGTTTTTGAATGCGTGCTTCTCCGAGATACATGTAGGCAATGCCTGTTCACCAGTTTCTCGAATGCTTGGTTACATAATCGGCGTAGTTTTTGTTTGCTTCTCTTGTTTAACGCCGCACTCAGCAATATTACAGCCATATGACGGCGGTCTGTAAATAATCGAGTCTGGACCAGACAATCCAGTGATTGACATCATGTGCATCGATCCACGCATTTGGGATACGTTGACATGCATCAACCAAGTCAGCGAGCCTGACCACCCGATCCCGTTAGTCGCCTCGTACGACAAGCATAGTCACCTTTAACGGCAGGTATGGGTTGCTGAAGACCTATTTTATCCCGGATCTGCACGGGTCTTATCGGCGTAGTAAAGAGAATGCCACCGTGCTACATGGATTTACGGATAACCAATCAGGAGAGACCGATTGATCGAATGTTGTTGTAAGTATTGAGTGCTTACATCCATCATAGACAGATAATCCGTAACACCTCGTGTCTTGTAAGCAGTTTCTAAATACCTCATGTTTCGGCCAATTGCGTAGATCGATGCTCATTATGTCAATCACTGGATTGTCTTGTCCAGACTCGATTATTTACAGACCTCTGTCACATAGCAGGAATATTGCTGAGTGTAGAGTTAAACAACAAACAAACGAAACAGCAAGCCATGTTCTTGCATACTGGTATAGGCGATTTAAACAAAATTCTAATGTTCATCCGAGGTGCGGTTTAACAATTTTATACTTTTTATCGTATAGAAACACAAAGCACATAACACTCCTATAATGGAAAAGTGGGGATATTGCTTTACCGCGAGAAATCGAGAAAGCGATAACAGACGAGAATGGGGTGTACATATCGCTTTCTCGACTTGTGTTGTCGCTTTCTCGTCTCGTGGTATCGCTTTCTCATCTCGTGGTATCGCTTTCTCATCTCGTGCTATCGCTTTCTCGACTCGTGTTATCGCTTTCTCCTCTCGTGGTATCGCTTTCTCGTCTCGCGTTATCGCTTTCTCGTCTCGCGTTATCGCTTTCTTGTCTAGCGTTATCGCTTTCTCGTCTAGCGTTATCGCTTTCTCGTTTCGTGTTATCGCTTTCTCGTCTCGCGTTATCGCATTCTCGTTATCGCATTCTCGTTTCGTGTTATCGCTTTCTCGTCTCGCGTTATCGCTTTATCACTTTCTCACGGCCATCATCATGAATACACTCGGCCGATAAGCGGTATTGTGGTGACGCGTGTCAAGCAATGAAATGAGGCCGTGTATAACTCATGGGAAGTCAAAGCAGCCCTATTCCGAACCTGAACTTTGTAGGAACACTACCATGGCCTGCCATAGAAGTAATGTGTAAAGCTGATGACCGCAACGCTGAGGCACATGCAGCACGAGAACCATTGCCATTCCAGCTATATGACGGAGGTCTGTAAATACTCGAGTCAGGACCAGACAATCCAGTGACTGACATCATACGCATCGATCTACGCAATATTTGGCATATAATAACATGCATCAACCAGGCTGGCGAGCCTCTCCACCCGATCCCTTTAGTCGCCTCTTACAACAAGCATAGACGCCTTTTACGGCAAGCATGGGTTGCTGAAGACCTATTCTACCCCGGATTTGTCTGATGTAATCTAAAAACCCATTTGTCAGAACACTTGCTGATTTCCCTCTCGCTGGACCCACAGTTTTGCTCGATTTCTCTTTTTCTGTGCTCGATTTTCTTGAAAAGAACTACTCGGCAGAGCGGTTGTGTGTATTCACGGGTAATAGAACAACGCCGTGTTTACAAACCCAGGAAGTATTGACGGTGGTCCTGCACCTTGACTATATGTTAGTCTATACGATGGCTCTGACGGGAAACTTTCGACTTTCAATGAACAAAATGCACAAAACAAGTTTCACCAATGCCACATCGGATGGCTACCACGACACATGTCATAGACAAGTAATTTATCCCCTTGATCCATGGTCATAAATCAACTGATCATACGCTTCCTCGTCTGGATGTCACGGTGAACCATTGGTCATAGACGTCAGAGAGAGTTATAGTGCTCCCATGATCCCATTGACAATGAGGTGTGCCTCTTACAGAAATAAGATTTAGTGAGTGGGTATTGCTTAATGCCGCATCAGCAGTTTTGCGGCTATTCGGTTTGTGAAGGGGGCTCGGTGGTAAATAAAACAGATACACGCTCACACCAAACAGGAACGCACATGCATTATTGGGGAACCTTGATGGGTTCGTTTATAATAGATCAACGGAAAGCAGCTAAATGTCCATACGTGACACAGGCTACTATAGTTTACATTAGTCGCTGATGTAGACACATGTCAAAGATCAAAGGTCACGACCATCAGACGTCAGTATCGTGTGTGCTCACCCTGGTAGAAAAGTACTGTCTGACATTTCCTGCCCATGGAAGCAATGAAGGTAGGAATCGACCTGGGGCGTGGTGGACAAAAACAGCCTGTAGCGTCAGTGCCATCTGTGTTATAGTCTTGGGCTGTGGTTGACGCTGTCGCAGCAATCTATCCAACTCGTCCGATAATGATTTTGCATATCTGGTGAGCAGCGCAAGGGAGTTAACTGACTTTCTTTCAAGTTTCCACGACTTTCAAAGTCAGCTAACTCCCTTTAGCCTTCAAAACGACACCTCGAACAGGCCGCCTGGATCGAAGACCTACTCTAGCGCGAATGCTGTAGAGCTTGTCTTGGTGGTTCTTTGCCGCACGAGACATGCCCGGATGTAGCGGTCCCTGGCTATGGTAGTAACGTGGTTTTCCGGAAAAGTTCTTTGGGAAAGTTACGTGGTGTTGATAACGGGTCCAGAGCCTCGTAATGGTGCTTGAGGATGAAACACCTTGGCTATGGCCGACCTGGATTCATCCGTTTTCAAGCAGATGGCTTTAGTTGTATCTGCATTACTCAGTCGCGACACGTGTTTGCTGTTGTGCAATTGCCAAGATAAGAAGACAACCCTACCCTTGTATAGGCCTCGTGTTCATGTTTCATGTGTAAACTGCGCACGTGAGATGGTCACGTGCTTTTGACGAATTTGCCTGTTAGTGATTTCTACCTTCAACTGCAACTGTTACAGTGGTGATATGTGTGGCCCACCAAATTGCAATGACCCCGTCAGCCTTATATCCTAAAGTTTTACAGTACAATCTTGAAATGTCCTCATATTCTAATATTTTACAATAAAAGCGATCAAACCCTTTCCATAATCAAAATATATCTCTACCAAAAGCAGCTCGGATATTTTAAGCAGGAATCAATAAGTGATGAAACTAGTGTTGTCGAAAAGGTAAACCTATACTGCCATACTAGCGGCATTCGTCACAAACACATGCAAAGGCAAATCAAGTGTTCACTTGGACAAACATGTAACATACTGTACACGTCAAACTATGGAATTGCTTAGGACATCATGTCAATGGGATGGGTTGTTTTCGGCTTCCTGTCTACCGGGTATTGGCGGATGTAGGGTTCTTTAACTGATAACATCACTGGGGTGGGTTAACAAGTAGCAGGCTTGTTTACCGTCGTTAAAATGTAGCAAATATTTACATTGCTAAAACTGACGAGTCATCATTCTACTTACTTGCCCGCTTCCAGCAGGTGTATGGGCAGGTGTTCCTTGTGATGGCGTCCGTCTCACACAGGCCTTTCCTGGCGTACTCCCCACACTGACAGTCGGTCTCGCCTGTCTCCACTAACACAACAGAAATGGAATGCACTTCAGTGGCACTTTTAGATACTTGTAATCTCATTGAAATCACATTTGAGTTCTACTTTTAGTGAGATTGAGATATTTGTGGCTCAGCATAATATATAATATACTCTTCAAATTTAAAGAAACGTAATACGGATATTTTGGCCATAAAAGAAAAATTAGCGGACCAAGAGGTGCAAAATGAAGAGGTTTAATGTGTTATAGTGTGAGTGACAAATTTCCCGGATCAAAATGATCACAACAAGGACATGCAAACCATTAGTCGGGAAACACGTACGATTCGGTAAAACGCACCCAGTGCATTAACAAAAGGTCCATGGAGCTGCACGTACTGCACATGCAGCCGGACTATGAACGGTATTAAAGTGCACTGTGTTTTATTGCCTGGCATCGGCGTCAATCGACCAGTGACAGTTCAACAACATGCCAAGATAAACAGGAGTGCAAAGAAACAACTTCATAGGCCGCTTGCAGGCAGGGAAATCCCGATCAGCTGTAGCCAGGGTTTTCCATGTAGCGCCCAGCACCAACACAAGGCTACGGGGTCGGTTTTAACAGCATGGGTCAACACGTGATCGGCCAAGGTCGGGACGAACCCCGAGTAAGCACCCCCGCCCAAGATCGCTACATCCGACTTCGCCACCGACGTGAAAGGACGACCACAGCCACCCCAACCGCATCCCAAATACCCGGACTACGCAGAATCTCCGACCAGACCGTCTTGCTCGTAAGAGCAGCAGGTCTACGAGCAAGACGTCCTGTTCGACGCGTCATATTGAGTCGACAACATCGTCAACAGAGACTGCATTGGTGTCTTCAACACAGGATATAGCATCAACTGCGATGGAGAGATTCAAGATTTCTCCTCCGTCGAGAGGATGGAAGAGCATGGGTCTACAGACGTCGGGGAGAACGTTACGCCGGAAACTGCGTACAGGAACTGGACAGGTTTGGTGGGGGTAGCGTTATGATGTAGGCGGCTATCTCTCATCATGGCAGGACAGGTTTGGTCCATATCCAGGGCAATCTTACGGCTCAACGATACATCAACGAAATTCTACTACCACACGTCCTCCCAACGGTGTATTCCAGCAGGACAACGTTCGACCGCATACAGCGCGGATCACAAGAGCCTGTCTACACAACAACAACGTTGATGTTCTCCCCTGGCCCTCCAGATCCCCGGATGTGAACCCGATAGAGCGCCTGTCGGATGAATTCAATAGACGGCTACGCCGACGTCAACCACAACCCCAGACGTTGCAGCAGTTGGCTTTTGCGTTGCAGGCCGAGTGGGCTACCATTCCCCATGATGTAATTCGCATACTCGACTCTTCCATGGACAGGAGATGTCAGGCCGCTATAGATTCCAACGGGGGACATACTCGTTATTGATGGTAGCTGACCTTCACCTTGGACTTTTCCTATGTACCGATAACTGAGATGACTACAATCACCAAGTGTTCTCTCCACAACAATTTTGCTTAATATCTTGTACGGTTCCTCGTATATATTTTTCCTACCTCACACAAATCTGGCTTTGCGTTTCTTTTTTTTAAGAGTATTATATAAATTCCTTACATTAGTTGATTGAAAATATTGGGAGACGCGGAATCATATAGGCGTTCATAATTATAGTCACATCAGCAATATGTAGGAACCTCGTCCAGACAGCGAAAGAAACGGGTTGACGATGTTTGACATGAAATAGTATCAATCAGATAAGGATTACAAGAAGCATGTATTAAAAACGTAAGTCATGGACATCGGAATCGAATTCGGATTAAACGAGACAGTTTTTAAAAAACGTAAGTCTTGGATATCGGAATTGGATTCGGAACAAAAGAGCCAGTATAAAAAAGTTACGTTAAATTTGAAATTGTCTTGCAACGGTTGACGTCGAATCATTCTCTTAATGTACTGTGAGCTAATGTTGCTTGATACTTAAGTCAGCTATATTCAAGCTTAAGTCAAAGCGATCTACAATGAATAGGAAAGACACATTAGATGTTGATAGCATGAGTAAGGATACGAGCTGTCATGATACGATATCACGCAACCAGCACAGTGTAACCATCCGCTGTTACTCGACTCTTTCATCAAATACTGGGGGCCACCGACAATGCATATTTCCGGTTTCCTGATTTTAGCTTTCGTTTATGGTATGCTGATGATAATACTCGTTTGTCTTCATTATATGTAACTATCATTCTTGTGGGTGTTAACTTTGTGAGTATATTTAAGCTTCGTTTTAGCCCTATTCTATGGAATACTAGAAGGGACATTGTCGCGTTGTCGCGCATTACAACACATTTTTTACACATTTTAGATTCGGCGACAATGCGACAACACGTCATATTTTAATCTTGGGGAACAACGGGACACTGCGACAATCTTCCTTGTTGGATGCCATACTATTCAGACACATCAACGTTGGCGGACCGCGGCAAAGGCAGATCCAGCATTTTTAAAAGGGAGGGGTCCAAAATATCAGAATCCTTTCATAGTTGTTGGGTTTGGGTTTTTTTAAAAGGAGGGGGGAGGGGAGGGGGTATGGGGCGTCCGGACATAATATTATTTCGCATGTACACATGTCAATACACACATGTGATAATACAAAGATAACGTTTCTTTAAAAAGTTTGGTTACATCTTTCCAGCGATTACTCATCCCTTTAGCACATGCCCCATTTTAATTGTCTCAATCCCCAATTCAAATAAGTGCAATGATCTTACTGTGACAGAGGGCGCCCACGTCGCATGTCCGGCCACAGTCTCCCCAGGACGAGGCTGGCCGGAAGACACATACATTGTACTGGTTGTTATATACGATACACCAGCGCCGCGTCATGCTGTCCTCGCAGACACCTGTGTAGGATGTAGAAGTATGAAAGACACTACTGACAAACCGATCTGATTTTTGGTAGAAGTGGCTTTGATCTGTACGACGCTCGATTCTTCTAGATTTCCGGCCCAGTTAATTTAATATCAAGTGTACTGACTATAATCGCGTGGTAAAGTTGACGACTGAATTCAGTGTGGTATATAATACTGTGCAATTAGCTATACGTTGACATCATTGCCTTTCAAGAAAGTGACCAAGAAGGTCACACTAAGCCCGCCTGCCCTAGGGTCACCGCTATGCAACGAGTCTGGCGCATGTAAATGGATATACCAAACACTTACGTGTACAAGGTGAGGTGTGTGTGTGTGTGCGTGTGTGTGTGTGTGTGTGTGTGTGTGTGTGTGTGTGTGTGTGTGTGTGTGTGTGTGTGTGTGTGTGTGTGTGTGTGTGTGTGTGTGTGTGTGTGTGTGTGTGTGTGTGTGTGTGTGTGTTACAAGTGCCATCTTTTAACGTCTTTTGGTATGACGCGGCCGGGGATCGAACCCCGGACCTTCCGCTCTCCGGGCGGACGCTCTACCTCTAGACCTCACGTGTACAAACTCCGTGCTGGTTCCCCACCCAAGTCCGGTTCTCCGTGCAGTACTGAGGCGCCTCTCCGCCGCTGTTCCCAGTACATCCCTGGCCGGTACAAATATGTTCCATCTGACCCAGGTAGGCGTTGCTTCTCACAAGTAACGTCGTGTTGTCCGGATCCGGCGGGATGGGGCATGCGAGATCTTAGAAAGCAATACAATAAAAACAGTGTACATTCATTTACAGAAGAGAAGCTGATTAGTGATGACCCTCTATTATATGGAGCATTGACAGTGTCATTTTCAATCCGATCCTCTTAAGCGCTCCCAATTAAACAGTGTGAATGTGCAAGGTATACAGATACTCGAACTTAAGTCGCCACGAAAGAAACCAGTTTCAACACAGTGCTCAAACCTATCCCGGGATTCACTTTCCAAACAATGCTTCAACGTACCTTTGAAGACAGTTTCAACACTGTGCATCAACTCAACCCGGAAGACAATTTCAACACTGTACATCAACTTAACTCGGAAGACAGTTTCAACATCAACTTTACCCGGGGGTCAGTTTTAACTCTGGCGTTCAACTTTACCCGTGAGTTAGGTACCAGTCAGTGCTACAACGTGTGCATTTTACTCTTACAGTCATAGTTTATATGTTTATAGGTTTATTTAAAGCTGTTTTCAACTCACTGTCAAGTTCCTCGCCACATGTATAAGAGCAGTTTTCTTTGTTCTCTTCGCATTTCTTAATGGATCGGTAGTATCTACACATAATGTCGGTGTCGCCTAGAGACGCTGAAAAGATATTTTTGACATCAGATTGACATTGTTAGACGTCTATTTATAATACTGTGTACCTGATCTGCGTCATATTGTACATTATGTTATAAACGTCCACGCCAACTCCTCACTCATATTGAATAAGGTTTACAACTCACGGTGACACAGCGCTGTTACATTGCAGGAGAGGGGACAATTTGCAAGGTATTTGTTCATTATTGACGACCAACATGCACCAGAAGCCGCAATATCGGGGCATCTTGGGTCATAGTCCACGCAACCTATAACATATGCAAGCAATCATAAACTTAATCATAACACGGAACATGAAACATACCACGCATCCTAAACCACAAACGTATAACAAAAACATACGATAAAAACATATCTAAACATTTCTAAAACATAAAAACGCATCCGAAAACATAAGCATACAATCTGAGAAGAAAAATGTAGCCTAAACATAAATACGCATACTTAACCAAACGGCCCGTGAAGATCCGGGGTAGAATAGGTCTTCAGCAACCCATGCTTGCCGTAAAAAGCGACTTTGCTTGTCGTAAAAGGCGACTAACGGGATCGGGTGGTCAGGCTCGCTGACTTTGTTGATGCATGTCATTGATCCCAATTGCGTGGATCGATGCTCATGATGTCAATCACTGGATTGTCTGGTCCAGACTCGATTATTTACAGACCGCCGTCATATAGCTGGAATATTACTGAGTGTGGCGTTAAACAACAAACAAACAAACAAACTTAACCAAACATACGTATCCTAAAACATAAAAACGCATCCCAAAACATAAAAACGCATCCTAAAACATAAGCATACAATCTAAGAATAAAAATGTAACTTCAACCTAAAATACAACCTAAGACAAAAACATGCAGCATAAGAGATACAAACGCATCCTAAAACATATACATACAACCTAAAACATAAACATGCAACATAAAAGATAAAAACGCATCCTAAAACATAAACATACAACCAAAGGCATAAACATGCAGCATAAAAGATAAATACGCATCCTAAAACATACAATTGCATCCTAAAACATAAACATAAAACATAAACATGCAGCATAAAAGAAAAAACGCATCCTAAAACATAAACATACAAACTAAGACATAAACATGCAGGATTGAACATGAAAACGCATCCTAAAACATAAACATACAACCTAAGACATAAACATGCAGCATAAAAGATAAAAACGCATCCTAAAACATATACATACAACCTAAGACATAAACATGCAGCATAAAAAATAAATACGCATCCTAAAACATATACATACAACCTAAGACATAAACATGCAGCATAAAAGATAAATACGCATCCTAAAACATAAAATTGCATCCTAAAACGTAAACATACAACCTAAAACATAAACATGCAGCATAAAAGAAAAAACGCATCCAAAAACATAAACATACAAACTAAGACATAAACATGCAGCATTGAACATAAAAACGCATCCTAAAACATAGGCATACAATCTAAGAATAAAAATGTAACTTCAACCTAAAATACAACCTAAGACAAAAACATGCAGCATACAAGATAAAAACGCATCCTAAAACATATACATACAACCTAAAACATAAACATGCAAAATAAAAGATAAAAACGCATCCTAAGCATAAACATACAACCAAAGGCATAAACATGCAGCAAAAAAGATAAATACGCATCCTAAAACATAAAATTGCATCCTAAAACATAAACATACAACATAAAACATAAACATGCAGCATAAAAGATAAAACGCATCCTAAAACATAAACATACAAACTAAGACATAAACATGCAACATAAAAGATAAAAACGCATCCTAAAACATAAACATATATATATATATATATTGTTTTTCACAAAAGTGTTAGGCCGTAGGCCTATTACACAGAACTATTTACAGAGAGAGGGAGAAAAAAGAATTACCACTATTTTACATGTACATCCATATCCATACGCATTCATACACATACACATGCATATATACAAATAAATATTTAGACTGTATGCAATGAACGAGGTCGAAAAGCTTTGTAAACGTAGACTGCTAGATTTCGTATGATTTTAAAGTTAGTGGATGACATAAGAGCATTAAATTTATTTTAGAAGGGGTTGTAAAATATTTAGGAGGAATATATTCAGCTCTTAAATCACTATAAGCATTGCATATAAGCACAAAATGATATTCGTCCTCAATAAAATTCTGGTTACAAATCAAACACAGTCTCTGTTCTCTAATTTCCTTAATATATCGACTGGTCTCAATTCGCAGCCGATGGGAGGAGCATCTCAACTGAGCAAACTTAACCAAACATACGTATCCTAAAACATAAAAACGCATCCCAAAACATAAAAACGCATCCTAAAACATAAGCATACAATCTAAGAATAAAAATGTAACTTAAACCTAAAATACAACCTAAGACAAAAACATGCAGCATAAAAGATAAAAACGCATCCTAAAACGTAAACATACAACCTAAGACATAAACATGCAGCATAAAAGATAAAAACGCATCCTAAAACATATACATACAAACTAAGACACAAACATGCAGAATTGAACATAAAAACGCATCCTAAACCATAAACATACAACCTAAAACATAAACATGCAGCATGAAAGATAAAAACGCATCCTAAAACATAAAATTGCATCCAAAAACATAAACATACAACCTAAGACAAAAACATGCAGCATAAGAGATACAAACGCATCCTAAAACATATACATACAACCTAAAACATAAACATGCAACATAAAAGATAAAAACGCATCCTAAAACATAAACATACAACCAAAGGCATAAACATGCAGCATAAAAGATAAATACGCATCCTAAAACATACAATTGCATCCTAAAACATAAACATACAACATAAAACATAAACATGCAGCATAAAAGAAAAAACGCATCCTAAAACATAAACATACAAACTAAGACATAAACATGCAGGATTGAACATGAAAACGCATCCTAAAACATAAACATACAACCTAAGACATAAACATGCAGCATAAAAGATAAAAACGCATCCTAAAACATAAACATACAACCTAAGACATAAACATGCATCCTAAAAGATAAAAACGCATCCTAAAACATATACATACAACCTAAGACATAAACATGCAACATAAAAGATAAAAACGCATCCTAAAACATATATTTACAACCTAAGACATAAACATGCAGCATAAAAGATAAATACGCATCCTAAAACATAAGCATACTACCTAAGACATAACCATGCAGCATAAAAGATAAAAACGGATCCTAAACCATAAAATTGAAACCTAAAACATAAAGATGCATTATAAAACATAAGCAGGCATTCTAGAACATAAGCATGCATCCTAAAACATCAAAACACAGCATGCAACCTAAAACATAAAAACGAATCCTAAAGTATAAACATGCAATATAAAACATAAAGATGCATCATAAAACATAAGCAGGCATTCTAAAACATAAACATGCATCCTAAAACATAAACACGCACTATAAACAGAAACGCTCTCATTCTAAGACATAAGCATGCAAACTAAAACATAGAAACTGTATCCTAAAACATAAACGTACAACATAACAACCAACATAAAAACTCACCAACTCAGCAATAGTGAGGTGCGTGTAATGTTACCTGGAGGGGTGGCGATGGTTGACGTGATAATTGCCGCTGTACAGAGGAGCGCCAACATTCTCACCACCTAGAAGGCAAACATAAGAATAAAGTAGACTGTGATGTGCTCAAGAGTCAACCTAGTTTCATAAGTACTGAAAGATAATCCGGGAACTTCTGTTACACAGTTTCAGCACGGCAAATGGAGCATGGGGTTGTACCTTCATTCACCTTATAAACGACGGTCTTACCTTAGTATCTCCCCCAACTAATAGCCAGCTAGCGCGGGGCCGGAGCAAGTTCAAATACCAACGTTTAACGTTAGAAATCGCGTCAGTGCTGATTATATTACCTGTTTATAATATCCTGATAGTACATGAAGCAAAACAAAAACAACTTGAATTATTTATAGCATGTATTTGTAACATTTCATCCCTTTGACAGAGGATGCGGACCACAAGTTGCAAGTCAGGGCGTGATGAAACTGGACTGGTGACAAACAACATATAAACATGGATGGCATCTTCTCGTCACACTCAACTGCCATCACACGACCTCGTGAACACATTCGGGATGAGGCCGTTTGTCCTGTTTGTATGGCGTGTTGACATCGCGACATGCGTGTTACATAACCACCCCATGAAGTCCAAGTCTCGTTTTCACTCTGGTAACACGCCAAAACATGGGTCGTGCACCTTTAACACTTCAGCATGAATACAGACAATATGGGCCGTGCACCTTTAACACTTCAGCATGAATACCCACAATGTGGGTCGTGCACCTTTAACACCTCAGCATGAATACAGACAATATGGGCCGTGCACCTTTAACACTTCAGCATGAATACAGTAAATATGGGTCGTGCACCTTTAACACTTCAGCATGAATACTGACAATATAGGTCGTGCACCTTTAACACTTAAGCATGAATACTAACAATATGGGTCGTGCACCTTTAATACTTCAGCATGAATACAAACAGTTTAGGTCGTGCACCTTTAACACTTCAGCATAAATACAGACAGTATGGGTCGTGCACCTTAACTACTTGAGCATGAATACAGTCAATATGGGTCGTGCGCCTTTAACACTTCAGCATGAATGCAAACAGTTTAGGTCGTGCACCTTTAACACTTCAGCATGAATACAGACAGTATGGGTCGTGCACCTTAAACACTTCAGCATGAATACAGTCAATATGGGTCGTGCACCTTTAACACTTCAGCATGAATACAGTAAATATGGGTCGTGCACCTTTAACACTTCAGCATGAATACTGACAATATAGGTCGTGCACCTTTAACACTTAAGCATGAATACTAACAATATGGGTCGTGCACCTTTAATACTTCAGCATGAATACAAACAGTTTAGGTCGTGCACCTTTAACACTTCAGCATAAATACAGACAGTATGGGTCGTGCACCTTAACTACTTGAGCATGAATACAGTCAATATGGATCGTGCGCCTTTAACACTTCAGCATGAATGCAAACAGTTTAGGTCGTGCACCTTTAACACTTCAGCATGAATACAGACAGTATGGGTCGTGCACCTTAAACACTTCAGCATGAATACAGTCAATATGGGTCGTGCACCTTTAACACTTCAGCATGAATGCAGGCAGTATGACACGGACACAAGGATCATTAAAGGGGGATTCCGTGGTTACTAGAATTGGTCCCCAGTAACCTACGAGTGTGCTTGTCGTAAGAGTCGACATTGCGTCACTGAACCCTTACGGCGTAGTATGCTGCTAACAATATCAACCACAGGTTTATCTCCCCTGATCGTTTCCCTAGTCACTGGTTTGCCTGGTCCAAACTCCATTATCTGCAGATGCCGTGAAATAGCAGGAATGTATCTGACTGCGGCGTTAAGTAGTATCCACTTACTCACTTGACGGGGACAGGGTGCTAGGTGTCTAATTTCTAATCATTGAAGTAATCCATTAAGGCAAACGGCAGTTCTCTTGCATAAAGCTGAGGAGTTGTCACTATTGATTTTTCTGAAATACAATCTCCCACTTACGGTGTTGAAGGAGTGCTATGTTGCATAAAATACGAACGCCTTTGATGTCATTTGACAGAGCAATATGCCTTTGCTAAGCTTCGTTTGTTTCTGGTGTAAAAATAAAGTAACAGTTGCCATTCAAGTAAGATGAAAAAGACGCAGACACAACATATCTATTATTTATGTAATATGAAAAAAGCAATTACTGGGATTATTTGGAATCTTTTGACAGTTGAGAGATGAAAGATCATTAAAAGAAAAGAAAAAATTATTACACGAAGGCTTAACCATGCATGCGTAAATAATGTCTAGTTGCTTTGGTGTCGTACATACGTAAATAAGTATTTGCAAGCGTACATGTACCGTTGACCGTAAAGCTCCCCAGTGTTTGTGTTGGCGGTGCATACGTAAACGTATCGTTTCTACGTAAAGTTCCCCAATGGTTGTGTTGGCCCTCGATACGTGTATACACCGTTACTGCGTAAAGTTCCCAAATGTTTGTGTTGGCCCTGGATACGTATATACACCGTTACTGCATAATAGCTCCCCAATGTTTGTGTTGGCCCTGGATACGTATATACACCGTTACTGCATAATAGCTCCCCAATGTTTGTGTTGGCCCTGGATACGTATATACACCTTTACTGCATAATAGCTCCCCAATGTTTGTGTTGGCCCTGGATACGTATATACACCGTTACTGCGTAAAAATTCACCAATGTTTGTGTTGTATACGTGTATACACCGTTACTGTGTTAAGCTCCCAAATGTTTATGTTGGCCCTGGATACGTATTAACAACGTTACTGCGTTATAGCTACCCAATGTTTGTGTTGGCGGTGGATACGTATATACACCGTTACTGCGTAAAGTTCATCAATGTTTGTGTTGGCCCTGGATACGTATATACACCGTTATTACGTAAAGCTCCCAAATGTCTGTGTTGGCCCTGGATACGTATATACACCGTTATTGCGTAAAGCTCCTAAATGTTTGTGTTGGCCCTGGATACGTATATACACCGTTACTGCATAATAGCTCCCCAATGTTTGTGATGGCGGTGGATACGTATATACACCGTTACTGCATAATAGCTCCCAAATGTTTGTGTTGGCCCTAGATACGTATATACACCGTTACTGCATAATAGCTCCCAAATGTTTGTGTTGGCCCTGGATACGTATATACACCGTTACTGCATAATAGCTCCCAAATGTTTGTGTTGGCCCTAGATACGTATATACACCGTTACTGCATAATAGCTCCCAAATGTCTGTGTTGGCCCTGGATACGTATATACACCGTTATTGCGTAAAGCTCCCAAATGTTTGTGTTGGCCCTGGATACGTATATACACCGTTATTGCGTAAAGCTCCCAAATGTTTTTGTTGGCCCTGGATACGTATATACACCCTTATTACGTAAAGCTCCCAAATGTTTGTGTTGGCCCTGGATACGTATATACACCGTTATTGCGTAAAGCTCCCAAATGTTTGTGTTGGCCCTGGATACGTATATACACCGTTATTGCGTCAAGCTCCCAAATGTTTGTGTTGGCCCTGGATACGTTTATACACCGTTATTGCGTAAAGCTCCCAAATGTTTGTGTTGGCCCTGGATACGTACAATCACCGTTACTGCGTAAAGCTCCAAAATGTTTGTGTTGGCCCTGGATACGTACAATCACCGTTACTGCATAAAGCTCCCAAATGTTTGTGTTGGCCCTGGATACGTACAATCACCGTTACTGCGTAAAAATTCACCAATGTTTGTGTTGGCCCTGGATACGTACAATCACCGTTACTGCGTATAGCTCCCCAATGTTTGTGTTGGCCCTGGATACGTACAATCACCGTTACTGCGTATAGCTCCCCAATGTTTGTGTTGGCCCTGGATACGTACAATCACCGTTACTGCGTATAGCTCCCCAATGTTTGTGTTGGCCCTGGATACGTCTAATCACCGTTACTGCGTAAGGCTCCCCGATGTTTGTGATGGCGGTGGATACGTATATACACCGTTACTGCATAATAGCTCCCCAATGTTTGTGTTGGCCCTGGATACGTATATACACCGTTACTGCATAATAGCTCCCCAATGTTTGTGTTGGCCCTGGATACGTATATACACCGTTATTGCGTAAAGCTCCCAAATGTTTGGTTGGCCCTGGATACGTATATACACCGTTATTGCGTAAAGCTCCCAAATGTTTGTGTTGGCCCTGGATACGTATATACACCGTTATTACATAAAGCTCCTAAATGTTTGTGTTGGCCCTGGATACGTATATACACCGTTATTGCGTAAAGCTCCCAAATGTTTTTGTTGGCCCTGGATACGTATATACACCGTTATTGCGTAAAGCTCCCCAATGTTTGTGTTGGCCCTGGATACGTATATACACCGTTATTGCGTAAAGCTCCCAAATGTTTGTGTTGGCCCTGGATACGTATATACACCGTTATTACGTAAAGCTCCTAAATGTTTGTGTTGGCCCTCGATACGTGTATACACCGTTACTGCGTAAAGCTCCCAAATGTTTGTGTTGGCCCTGGATACGTACAATCACCGTTACTGCGTAAAGCTCCCAAATGTTTGTGTTGGCGGTGGATACGTACAATCACCGTTACTGCGTAAAGCTCCCCAATGTTTGTGTTGGCCCTGGATACGTACAATCACCGTTACTGCGTATAGCTCCCCAATGTTTGTGTTGGCCCTGGATACGTTAATGTACTATTTAAAGTTGGTTGCAATGTGTTGTTAGGGCCCAGTTTCACAAAGCGAGCGTAGCGTTAAGACAGTCGATAATTTGCAGACCGCCGTCACATAGCTGGAATAGTGCTGAGTGCTGCGTTAAACAAAATTCGCTGTGCAGAGTTGCGTTTTTGGGGCAATTCAGAAAAAAATCCTGTGATCGTGGGTTGAATTCCGGTTTCCCGCGATTGTTTCAAGGTTCGTCAGCACCATATCCGTGCTCGTGGGTTTAACCAAACTGGTGAACGTGTAGGATCTGCATCACTTCGGGCTTTCTTCCCACATTAATCTGACACGCCGTGATATCACTGGAAAACTGTTCAAAGCTGCGTTAAACCCGACTTACTCACTCTGAGGAATATAGAAAATATGTCTAAAGTTTTGTACGCAAGCAGTCAGTCAGATTCCAGCTGTACCACGGCGTTGGGTAGATATTCTTACCAGGAGTCCATAGCGAGAGCATCGCGGATATAGAAATTGAAATGAATTAAATGGGGAAGCAGTTTCCGTTTCTTTGCCCAAAAGAGTCTCATTTTGGTTTCATTGTGTTTTTTTATAC